CTTACAGTAAGTTGAAACACAATGACAGCATACAAATATGTAACAACATAGGTCAGTATTTGGTATGTAAAGTTGCTTCCTTTAGAGCAAGACGACTGATCAGCACACTGTCATAGAATTCGCTGGAAGTGCATGGAATGTTCCTTCAACTACAATGTAGCATATCCTACAGTTCCACTGGGGATTTAGATAAGTGTCCAATGGAATGCCACAGTGTAGTAGGATCTGTCTGTACTTCTCTGGTATCAGTGTTTCATCACTTTTTACTAAATCTCTAACACCACTTGAGGAAATTCTACCTCAAAGATACATAAATTCATTCCTATGTTTTATGTGGCAGTTGTACTTTGGGACTGGTAATTCCCCATTTTCATCTTTGATTATGCTGCCGTTGATAATTACTGAACAATTCAAACTTGGTCTCATTGGTAACATCACTCTCTGTCGGGCATACACATCCCACTATTTAATTTACACTGCCAATTTCAGCGTCTTTGTTTGGTTGCCTCTTCACATCAAAGGTTCCACGCAACTATACGTGCGCTCAGGCTGCACTGAGCCAAATTTTTTCTCACTGCCTACAATGTGACTTCAATTACTTTATTGGCCAGATCTTTACTTGGACACATCCTGTCTTAAAGGGAACATGCCCTGAGATGATTAAGATAACTCGTCGAAATATTGAATATTCTTCTTTAACTGGGTTTGTTATTAACAGTACACATTTTCTGAATCTGTAAAACTTCTTGCATACAGCCCCCCATTAACACATGCAGTTTAGCTTCAATCTGTCATATGAAATAACCCTATCTATTCAGTGTGGTAGTTGATATACCAGGTGAATCAAAAGTCTTGATTTTCCCAACTGGTGTGAAGTAAGTAGAAAATATAGGGTATTTAGGCATATTGGGGGTCATTTGTTACCTGACATGCATTCTTTGTTGTCATTTCCCGATGATCTCAGGATAGCAAACTGATTAAACAAACAACTTTTCTGAAGTAATGTCGTTGTTCTCTATACATTTTACACCAACACATTTTACCTCAAATCGATAGTTTCAGTAATATATTTTGTATGACCTTAATTTCACCTTTATAGCATGATCACAAATGGATATCAATATGTCTAAGTCCCCTATGTCACACACAATATTCCACATTTACTTCACAGCAATAAGGGAAATCAAAATTTTTTTCTCATCCTGTATACTTTTCATAAGGCATATCCGTCCTGGAGGTTATGCTTCTTTAAAACATACTGAGAAGTGGTATAGATGATTATATTTCTAGAGTCGGTGTGGCACTGTCTGATTGACTGGATGGCAACTAGTCACAAAGCACCACATTAACAGGGATATTATTCTATACTGTTCGTGGAAGAGCTGTTACATGCAGTAAGTGCTTCCTGCTGATTTTTGTATGTAGTTTCCATATTGTTTTTTTTCTTCAAATTTTTATAAGAACGAAAACCGAGAAATGTATTATGAGATTATAAAAAAAAGGTTGTCCAGTGCCAGTTCCTGTTATTATCCTTTAAATCATACATATTTCTAAACTAAGGAAATGTTAGAGATGTTGAGAGTTCTATAAAAACAGAAAACTGTACATCAACAAGAAATTAGATCAGGGTAAAGTGTTTATTAAAGCATCTTTAGACGCATTTGCACGTTTGATTTAGTTTTTGCAAATTATGATAAAAAATAGTTATTTACGATTCACCATTACCCAGTAAGGTTTACAATGATAAAAACATCAGAACCTTTTTACTTTCAAGGAAAAGAAAAAGTGTTAAAATTCCACTAGATCAGCATTACATGCAATCGGTTTCTAAATACATATTTCAGGCTTTATTTAATTGTCAGTGATAAAATTAGAACCTGGTTCATGTTAAAATTAATTACTGGGAGCAAAACTCTTAAGTTACTAGAGGTTGAAAGTATTTTACTTCAACTTCAGTTGTGTTTTAGAATTAAATTTCCTCAGTATCACAGGATTGATTATAGTGAACACTTTATTTAGTTTTTGCTTCTTTATAGGTATATAATCCTTCCTATCCATTTTAACCTACTTCCTTTTCAAAACTGGATTCTTGAGCTGCCGTTCTGCAATGATTGAAAAGCTATAGGATATTCACTGGAGCAGTTACCCCAAAGATGAAAAAATGTGAGGAGCAGCCATAAAAGAAGAAAAGAAAGCAGGTATACAAAAAAAAACAAAAAAACAACACACACACAGAAATTGAAAAGTCAAAATAAAAAAAGAAAATATAATAAAGACCCAGAAATTGAGGTGATTTCTCCAATAAATGGGATATATATATAAAAGACCGCAGAAGATGAGGAGAAAATACAAACAAAGAAACAAAAGCAGAAATACCATGTCTACAGAAGAGGAGGAGGAAACATAACCAAGAAAAGGAGGGAGATATACCAATATGAGAAGAAGCCTCAGACCGTGAAGAGGAGGCAGATATACCAAAGTCCACAAAAGATGAGAAGCTTCAAACCAAGAAAAGGATGCAGATATACCAAAGTCCACAGAAGATGAGGAGAAGCCCAAATGAAGAAAATGAAAGAAATATACTAAAATCCACATAAAATTGGAAACATTTGTTTTTTTTCAGATATTCATGAGCTATGTGTGCTAGTTGTCCATAATTGTGAACTGGTAGACCAGATAAAGGCAACTAGTCAACAGCATCCACAACTAGCTCTTGAACTATTTTTGTTTGACTAAATAGTTAGATTTCATTGTCACCTTTATAATAAATCCATGGCTCCAAAGTGTATGGCGTGATTTCTTTTGGCATTCATTCATTAGTTAACTGGACTGAAGTTTTTGTTCCACTGGGGCAGATGATAGGTAAAACAAAATACGCGGCCTAGCTAACTAATGAATGAATATTTGCTGTAAAATTTTTGTCAATGCTATAAGTGTAGCTACAAGTTTGGCCACCAATTTTGATTTCATTCCTTTAAGTCATATGCTCAATCCTTTTTTTTTTTTTTGGCTTCAACTTTTTTCACAACTAAGATGTTTTTGATTAGATATCATGACTTGTTGTCAATACACACCACAAACCACAGCAAGTAAGAAAATGACAGTCGATAGTAACCCACATTAGCTTTAGGATTGCAACCCTATTATTCAGAACTATACTTTACAGAACCAACCAGATTTTAAAAAATATATGGTGCTAATTTTCCTCTCTAAAACAGTGTTAATAACTTACTTTGTAGTAACGCCATGGAATCTACATTAACAATTTCTTGTCATCACCCGCATGCACTCAGTACAGACATATCAAGCATCATTACTCACGGTAATTGCTTAAGTTAATATCACGTGACGCTAAATGCTCTTTAATTATGAGAATTCCATAAAATTTAGAAATTTGTGCTGAAAAGTTGGCAATTAATAATGAATAATAACCGTCCACCCGTATGATTCTTTAGAAACTTGAGCTAGCAATTGGTAATCTAGCTTACTTGGCCTAACTACTGCTTATGTATCTGCACGTCTTTCACACATTAGTTTTGCTACTCTACATCGGCTGTCTTTAATCCAAATGGATAAAACTAATAATGGTCCACTTTTACTCTTAGGTGAAGCTGTATTAAAAATGTTAGAGCGATAGCTCACGTGGCTTTTTGCGTAGTCTTGCACAAAAATTTTGGTTAAATGTGAACGGTTTTTGTTGAATAACTTTGCACATGTGGCTAAGATTTAGACCAAAATTTATACCTAATTGTAGACTGTAAAGTCTATCAGTGTAACAGATTTTTAAAAAAAATCCATTGTTACGACAGCGGAAGTCACGTGACGCTAGTAACACGTCATGATATTCTAGAAGGATCATGTCTGTTTGTGGCAACTTTGGTTTTTTCTACGTGTCCTCTATTTTTGTAAATAAGTGCGCCAAAGCGAAATTAATTAATCAGAGAGTAGAATTGCAGACAGACAATTGAGTCAAGCGTGGTAGTGACCGTAAGAAAAGTTGGCGAATCGTTGTGAATTATAACGTGTGTTTAAGTTAAAGTGACTGTGGAAATTAAGTGTATTGCAAAGTTGAGTTGTGAAAGAATAAACTAGTTTTATTGAAGAAAGTATTTGTATCGCTAAAGTTTCTCGGAAAGAGTTTCTACGGAAAAATTAACAAACGACCAGAGACGTAACACCATAAAAGTTAAGTGTGCTTTTCTATCAAATAACGTTTCCGTACTTTCGGTGCAAAGAATAAAATAGGAAAAAATTCAATCAAAAGTGGATATCTCATGCATTTCTTATTTGACTGCCTTGAAATTTGATATGTTAAGTAAAGATCCAGTAGAACACATCCACTGAAAATATGTGAAAGTTTGGATTACAACAGTCCGAGCTACAGAGAGTGGAAAATCGCTAAACTATCACCCCTGTTAATAACCCACAGTATGTCCTGCATGTTTTTTATTGGGCCGCACCACACAATACGGTCTGTCTTGATATCAAAATGTAAGAGAGATGTGTTAAAACAGAATATTTCTCTTTTATCGTTTAATTTAACCCTTCGTTTGCGGCTTGCGAAAGCTGGCAATTAAAAATGTTGCGCGTAAAATGCTTGTATCATACGATGTCAACGGCAGTTGAAGGGTCAATCAAACAACCTTTATTTACGATTCTGATTGAAGTCTCTCTCTCTCACTCTCATATATCTATATACTTTATTCTTATCAGTGACAGAATTGTAATACGGAAGGAACTGTCCTAACCTGTCTGAACTGTAATGTGTAATATCCAGATACTTCTAAGGAAACGATTTTTGTGACGTCATTGAACGCAGATTTAGCGCAATATTGTTAAAATAAAGTTACTGTTTAATTTATCGAATTGTCGTGAATTATTTATTCCCTATTTTTCATTGTATTTTATGATAATTCTAAGTGAGCAAAAATTTCATTAAGTTTTTTCGAAAATAAAGTAGTGCTAGTAGGTTTTAATCGCGCCAAATTCTTTCAAAACGACGCAAGTCATGTGTTTAAATCTATACATAACTAAGGTTGCGGTATATTTCCGACGTAGTGGTTGTGCAGGAAAATTGAGGGGTGAGTGTCTTTACCTACAAATCCAAACGATCTTCATTGTTTTTGAAAAAATTAACGAAGCTATATTGTTCTGTATTAATGTAATATATTTTCCAACAGATTTTGAAAGATATTTTATGGTCCTTTGGTGTTATTTTTTTTATAAAATATTAAGTTAATTCATTAGGCTTAAGATAATGTAATTGTCTTTTAGTATTCGAAATGAACAATCAGCATTAAGACAAAATATTAAAAATTTATCCATTCTACTTCTAGTCATTTAAATTTAATATTTGGAAATCGCAAGTTTCAAATATAATTAAAAATTCAAAACATTTGTTAGTACTGAGGGATAACAAAAGAAAAATTTGGCTTCATTATTTCATACGTGTATTTTGTCGTTTCTCATAATCTAGGTTCAGTAATTTACTAATTATTTTTGTATTACAATTATTAGTGTTCTACAACTTGCAACTCTCATTGAAAGTTTTGGAATGTACTAGTAATAGGTATTTGGTGTTTAAAACTTGCTAATTCGGTGATTTCAAGATGTAGTGGAATATGTTTACTATAAGTTAATAGTCTTTTTTTTTTTCAGTATTACATGGCTGCAAGATAGCATTAATCTTTTTTTTTGTTTCATGGGCCACACCATTAACCATTTAAATTTAATAGTTAAACCTCATGTAACAAAAAAAACTAATAGAACATGGGAGAAACTTTCCAACAACATCCAGTATATAATCTTAGCAATAACAGAATTATCAGTAAGAAAACTAACCAAATTACATTATCTTGTGTATTGTATCCATTTGTGACTGGTTTTATTATAGAGAATTGACTACCAGCTTAAGAAGTAAAACACCAAATGTTAATGTACTGTAGTTTAACTTAAGAATTACTGTATGATTTATAAAACCATGTTATGATATTTCACAATTTTACCATTTCTGTGCAAGAATGTATTGCATGCTTAGTGACTTTCCTGCTCCGACTATCTGTATTTTTATTTTTACTTGTTTTTCTTACTGCAGAACAACCATTGTAACATGGGTATATTTTCCATAGACCACTTTATGACATCTGTTAAGAATTTTGTGATGCATTTATATCTCTTACAATACTTTAACATTGTAATGAGACATTTCAGTGTCAAACTGTTCAAGCCCTGTAACCTGTGTAACTTTAAACATTGATTCTAAGGCAGTACTTGAAACTAACATATACTTTTGTGTTTTGTAATTTAAGTGAGGTATGCTGAATTAGTTCTTTAATATTAGTTATTACATAGTTTGTGTATATCTGGTTTTATTTGTAATTTTTGTTATTGTTTTTGTTTTGTATTTTTAACTTAACATATGGATCTAGAAGTAACCATACTTTCCTAAGCTGGTAAAACCTCAACAGATATTATTGGATTTATGGTCATTAACCACTAATAAAATAATACATTATAATATTTAAATACAACAGTAAGAAAATCACATTGATGATTAAGTTAGCTATTTTCATTACCAAGCTGATTTTTAGTTTTGATTTAAGTAGGTAGCTTGCTTTGGTTTGCAGTTAGTTAGGGTGTAATACACCTACTTTTGCTGTATAACAAAGTATTTGAAATATATTGTTGGGCACTTCCACTGTGTTATAATGAGTGGTATGGTCTCTCGTGTTGTTATGTGTAACATAATAACAATAAATTCTTTTGTTCTCCCAGCTTTTTTATAGCTTAAAGGTTTCAAACCAGGAATTGTTTTGGTAGGCCATCGATTTTTTTGGTTTTGGTTTTTCTTCAAGTATTTCTATAATAAGTGAACATATTTTGAAATGAACACCAAGAGTTAAGACCTGGTAGTATAGATGTCATCTGCAAATTAGACAATTTTATTTTTTTGAATAGAAAATTGCCTTCAGACATGTTAAAAGCAACAGGATTTGGAGAGTTCAAGAAAGAGGTTTATGAGTGTCTGGGGAGTCTAGGCTTGATACAGACGTACGAGTGTTTGATGAAATTAATTGAATAACCTGGATGAGTTGAGGGGTCCCTTTTCCCTCAAATTTCAAGTGAAGACTTGTCCAAGTTTTCTTCAAAGTGATGAACTTAAACTTTCTGTAGGTAGATCCCATAACCCTATTTGCTCATTACACCACATTCAAGCATTCAGCTCACATTCCACACAGCATTAATATTTATCTTTCAGATTAGTATACTGAACAAGACTACAAAATGTACATGAAGGAAGCAGTTTCCAAAGAATGTTCTTAAACTGTATCATTTATTTAAAGTTCTCTATTTCTTTTCATCCTACATTTGGTCTGAGGTTTGAACAAATAAACTTAATAATGAATACAATCTTTCTTAATAAGTGAATTTAATAGATCTAGTAAGGAAGTTCCAAGCATCATAAACACTTCCATTTTAAGTTGGTTTTCCAATTAGTTTCATTAATCAAGCTCAGCAGTTTCTGGAAGTTGGCCATTCTAAAATCAGGGACATGGCACTTGTTTACACCTGAGAACAAGTAGCTGATCCAATGAGTATGTTCATGATTGGCTTGGATATTTGACTCACTTTTGGCTTGTACAACCAGTGATTACATATGTGATTACTGTTGGATTTTTCAAATGGACAAGCATAGTGTTAATGGTTGACAAGTTAACTCTGATTATTATTACGTCTTCAAGAAAATAACTTTCTTTGTATTTTTGATTTTAGGTGAATTTGAAAAAAAAATTAATTATTACCACCATAATAAATCTAATTGGTGAGCACCCAAAACAACATAATTGCCTCAGCTACTTTATGAACCTATGGTCTCAAAATAAAGATCAAAGGTATTCCTGGTAGTATTAAAGTCACTGGTACCAAAATAACTTGCACAATAATATATTTATTCATATCCTCAGAACTAAAACCATAAATGTGTAATAAAACATTGGTAGGTCCTCTAGCATGCTCAGTTTAAAACAATCTGCAATATCTAACTTCTGTCCTCTTGTGTGAGCAGTATTGATTTGACCAAAATTGATGTCTGATGCCAATAAGCCTACTTTTATTAACAGTGTAACCAATCCAATCTGATCAGAAGTTTTATAAAACTTGCAATAAGCATCTTTTGCATAACTTGTACACATGCTACGTTATTACTAATGTCAGAGATATTGCATCTCTTGTAAGCAGTTTAATTAATTTCCCATCCTTAGTTTATATAGCCTCTACAATATGTAAAACATATAGAACAATAAAGAAAATTTTAATTTAAATAAATTGATTCAAAAATCACTCTATATTCTAACACATCTTAATCACAAACCACCCTTTCCTCTAATACATCTTAAGAAACATTCTTTGTGAGATAGCAGAAAGTCTACAGACTTACAACAATAAAATCTGGGGTTTGATTCTTCACAGTGGATACAGCAGGTATATAGCTTTGCTCTAAAAAACAAATCAAGAAACGTAGTCATCAAACTCATCTTAAAACAAAAACACCTTGTTTCCTAATGCATCTTAAAAACCATCCTGTCCTCTAACACATCTCTATTTCATCATTTATTGCTTTCCCCATATAAACAGAGACTGTGTTATTATCAAATGGCTCTTCTCTACTCATAAATCTATCCAAATCAAGTCAGCATGATGATTTACTTTCCTGTAGTCTTGTTGAAATCTTGTCCCCCTATTTTCATTCCTACTGTATGTGAGGAAGAATTCTTTAAAGAATTGAGCTGTTTTTGGATGTCAAAACTCTGCAGTAGTTCCTTGTATTTGCTAATCAACTTCTGAAGTGTTTCTAATAATATTTGGTCCAATATGCTCTGAAGGGGGATTTTTTTTTTCTGTTCCTGCTATAAAAATTTTACTTTATTAATAACATCCTGATCTTTTGCACCTGGTCAGTTCTGTGATCAGTTGTGGTTCTAATTTTTCTGAGCACTGTACTACAAGAAACTGTCTGCAGAGATAATTTGAGAATTTCTTACTGGAAATATTTCATAATTGCCTCTTGCTAACAGCCAGTTTCAAAAGTGTTACTGTTACCTGTAGTTTTCAAAGCCATGATGAAACTATTTTGTACATAAGAAACAGTATTATTTTCTTTCCATGCAAGGAACTATCTTAACTGTATGTTAACTTAATTAAGATCCGATCCCAGCTTATGGTTTATCCACTAATTTAGTACTTATTCTGAAAGCTACTCTTAATTTTTCTTCTAATGAGCAAGATCCACTGAATCACATTGGATATCCTTAAAACTGCAGTTTAGGTTTGTATTTGTAGAAGTGATCCACTCTTCCTATTATTGGCATGGTGGTTTGGGTGCCGAACTTGGTCAGGGGGTTCGAATCCTATCATTGAATGTGCTCACCCTTTTAGCCATGGGGATATTATAGTGTGATGGTCGGTTCCAATATTCATTAACCCTTTCGATATGGGTCGCAGGTGAAAAGCCATGTCATCTCGTTTGACTCGCATTCAAAACTTTATTGAACTATTATTTCATGAATTTATGTCAAAAAGTTTGGTATCAAACTGTAGATTATAATTCACATTTTAGAACTATACATTACTCAATTTGTTAATTTAAAAGTAAATATTAAAACACAGATAAACATCAATTTTTGTGTTGAGTGCAGCACTGGTTCAAATTAGATGTTTGTGAAGTCAAATTACAGATATTGACAAGCTGAATTATAAAATAAGAAAGTCTTATCTTTTCTATTTGCTAAGATATTGCTAACATAATAAATCAAACATAGTGGCACCCCGCTCACCTCCTTCCATTTTGGAAGTGCTCCCTTATAAACACTTGTTTCTGTATATGACATGAATAACCAATCGAAAGCTCAGAATGTCCCCCCTAGTAGTTTTCTCAACCTTTCTAACTACCTAGCATCATTATTTTCTTTTAAATCACGATTTCAATGAGGTAGATAGTGTCTTTAGTCTGCTCTAATTTCATATTTTTTTTAGAGCCAAATACAGCTTAGTTATTACATTTGATAAATTACAGTAGAATTATGTGGTATTGATGTAGTAATTTATGATTTTTTGTTATTCAAAAGAATATACAAAACCTAAAAAAAATACTTTGTTTCATGTCCTCTACGTGCAAAATTTTTAAAGGCTTAGCAACCTACTTCAGGCAGCAACCAAGTACAAAGGTCGTAACTAGAAGAGATAATTGTTTGTTTTACTTCTTTATTTACTGTTCTATGTTTTAGGAAAAATAAGTTTAAGAACTTCTTTCAAAATAGCAATAATCTATATACATATATAATAATTGAAATGTGACTTTTTACAAAATCCTAGTCTGCCAAAACAAAGTCAAGACAAGTTACTTTGTACGGGCCAAAGGTCACCTTTGTTTTATTTCGTACTGTAACATGAGCAGCATCATTGTAACTTCTGTATTTAGCCAGGCACGGGTGAAAGGGCAATATAATAAATGTATAATGTTAGGGAATTTAAGCTATTTATTCTAAACATTTATGTGTTTGTGTTATAATTTGTGTTCATTCTAGAATGAAAGATGCATAATTTATGTTTATTTCTTAATGTTTTTATGGTGGTTGCAAGATCGGTCAAATTTACCGAACCTGTACAGAAAGTAATTGCTGAAAATAACAGATAAAATATAAAGTTTTATTCTTAAGAAACATTTGATAACTATTTGGACATTATAAAGATTTTGCGTGTGAAATTTTGAAATTTTCTGATGCATAAAAGTATTTTTAGTGATAAGATGAAAATTACTTTGCATGATAGATAGCCAAGATGTGAAAAGAAAGCAAAGGCATGAGAGAAACATTGCTTTACAAACCTTAAGATTTAATAAAAAAAATTAGATATTTTGTGTATGAAAGTATTGTAATGTTCAGTGATAAACTGCCAAATTTCATTAACATTTGCTTACTAATTTAAACGGTATAGCAGGAAAGCTATAACAAGCACAAAATTAGTTACAAGGTCGGTCTAAAGGACCGAGCCCGGGGTTGAAGGAGTTAATAATGAGTACCGAAAGAGTTAGCAGTGCTTGGTATTGACTAGCTGCCTTCCCCCTAATCTATAACTTCTAAATAAGGGATGGCTAGTACAGATAGCCCTTGAGTATCCACAAATTCCATAAAAAAAACTTCGTGATCACATTGCCACAAATGTATCTTCAGTTACTCCTTTATTAATATAAACAAAAATTCTACCAACCAAATCTCTTGCAGTATAAAGAATTGTTTACCCTGAATTTAAAAATATAGTAAAATAAACTAAGTCTAAAGGAATTAGTTTACAAGTAGAAACCAGCACAATATTTTTAAACCCATATTACTTCAGGCATAAGTCTAGAAATTAAGAACCAGTACTGTAATCTCTAAATTTCAAGCATTTTTTTAGGTTGTGAGGTAAGTACATCCTAGTCTAACAGTGATAGGTAAGTATAACTTAACAACACTACTACTACTAAGAAAGTTGTTTCTGCCAGCACCAAGATAATACAATTTTTTAAGCTTATACAAGAAGCAAAGGAATCAACAAAAATACAGAGTAATGAGAGTATTTAGTTCATTAAGCCCCTCCACAACCCACCAAAAAGCCAAACTTAATGAGCCCTTTACATTGCCTATTCAGTGAAGGATTTTTAACTAAAAGTATACTCCATATGTTTACTACTAACAGCAATAATTTTAAATAACAAGTTCATTAAATCTAATATTCATTTTCACATTTCTAGTATTACTATTATTTACAAGCTGGTTATCGTAGCTCCTAACTCTTTCTAAATAATGGAATCTAGACTATGATGTAATTTTATGAATAAACTTAACATATGGTTGAGCTCAGCATTTTTAGATAACACTTGATAAATTCATGTGGCATGGAGTACAAAAACTGGCCTGTTAATGCAGGTGTTGTGAGTGAAGAAAACTTGTATGATTATGAAACCTGAGGTTTTTAACAATCTGAATTATGACACCCATATAAATTAAATCACACAAGATGCACTTACTTGGAACTATATCCTTTGTTGATAATAACATATTTAGTGAAATGGAACATCATTCTAAACATATTTGCTGTCTTATCTTTTAAAAGTAAAAATATTATTACTCATCTGTGTGTAGTTGGTACAGAAATTATCAATTTGTTACTGACATTTAATTTCAAGATTTGGAAGAGGGAAGGTTTCTACTATTTCTTTTTTTATCAGACACAATGGTGAAAAAGTAGTCTGTTTTCTTATAGAGTAACATCTTTTTTTTTTTTTTCATCTGTCTTTAGGTAGTTTGTGTGAAAACAACTGTCAAGTTCTTGGTTATTGTTAACTTAAATAACTAAAAGAGTTTAGTAGCAATTAGGTAAACTAATGACAAAACACTTTTTTTTTGTATGTAGTTTCAATAAGAAAAAATGCAGCAGCCACAACAGAATCATCCCACTGATGATGGCATTCCAACATTTAAAGTAAGTCAATATCTTTAAAATATCTTGTAAAATACCAAGATACATAGTGTATTAAAAGAAAAAGGAAATACATATCTGTATTTATACAAACACATAAATTATGTACCTAGTGGACCACCGTGGTTTCTTGGACATCATTAGTTTTTTTCTCTTTAGCATCATGGGTAATACCACTATTTGTTTATTATTACATAACAATATAGCTCCCCAAACATTCACTAACTGTAATGAGCTCAGAATAGTAGACTAAAAGCTGGCTGTGAAATGCATGTTTTTGTATAACTTAAGAGATGATTTTATAATTACTTGTAACTGTAAAACACTTAACATTCCAGGTATCCTTTATTGTGCATGATACAAAGTTTTAGTGTCTTACATTCAAAATATTATTGAACTACTTTTGTTTGTTACACCAATTAGAATAGCATAAAATCTTAGCTAATAATCCATATTTTAATAATATACAAGTTTTAAGTTTTTAATTCTACAAGGCAATATTTTAAAAAATCTTGAATTTCCACTAATGTGACCCACATGATACATTTTCTCTTAGCATGTTATCATCCCCATTTTGTATGCCACCCCTCAAAAAAAAGTACAAAATTAAATTTAAATTATTCTCTTTAAAATTGTTAATGCTTAGACAAACCACAATTTTTAGTCTTCAATTTTGTTTGGTACAGAGTTATCAATTATAAAATCAGATCCCACCTGTCGCATTCTCTCTTTCAGAATTGATTGATAATTCTGTGTTAAGTTTCATTATATAATACCTATAACCAATAGAACGTCAAGGTGTTCCTCTGTAAAATGACATATTGTATAACATTATGTTCTGAACAATTAGATGTCAATTTCACTCGGAGTACATAATAACATAACATAATATTTTGGGACAACATGGGACCTATTGGTCCACCTCAGCTGTTCCATACTCAAAACTAAATTAAAATGATTTTAAAAAGTAAAATAGAAATTCTAAACTCAGCCCTTTTCATTCATATACTTATGAAGCTGTTTCTTAAACTCACTTATATTTACTGCCTCTGCAATATTTAAAGGCAACCCATTCCAAAGTCCAGTGACCCTGTTAGAAAAATAAAACTGTCTAAGCTGAAGATGGCTCCCACCTTGCCAAAATTTATATTTGTGTCCCCTAGTCTTACTATTCTCATTGTTAAATATAGAAAATATTAAATATAATATTATCATTTTTTTTTTTACACAAAAAAAATAAGGCAAGATTTTCTCTCAGTGGAACCATGTTGAC